TAAAGCTCTGCACACACACACACATACACACACACATGCTCACACTCTCACACACACGCATACTCATATATACTCTAATAAACTAATGCTTCTCGTTTTCGGGCTGCTTTTGTTGCCCTTAAATCTATTACAAGGCAGTTGGCCCATAGTTTGTTTGTTGCTGTTGTTGTTGTTGCTGCTGTTGTTGCTGGCTTATTTGCAAAGCATTTTACGGTGTTGTTGTCCATTGCTTTGGGATTATGTATTGAGAAATCTTTGCTCGTATAGGGGGTGGCTAGCACACACGCATACACACACACACTCACACACATATTCCTGTGCCCAGGTGCTGGTCACATTTTTTGCTTGATTTACTATCGATATTTCGACTCAAAGTATTCGCACACTAATGGGAATATAATATTAAAATTGAACAAAAGTTTTTTTTTATTATTATTTTTTCCTTTTTTTTTTTTTTTTTTTTTATTACGTTTTATTCATTGAATTTTCTCTTAGAGACATTTAAGCTGTTTCATTTCACAGTGCCAAGATTTATTTCTGTCTGTGTCTGCTGCCTACGTCTACATAAAAATATTACAAAAATCTTTTCTTTTTTATTTATACATACTAACAAATTCCTTTTCTATTTACGTTATTATTTGATGTATGCTGTATGGAAATTCTATGTCAGTTTAAAGTTGGCTTGCGTGTAAACAAATTAATGCAATATTTTTATTGCTTTTTCGGTGACTGTTTCCATATTCGAAAGTTTATATATGTAAAAAAAAAAAAATAAATATTTTTTTTCTCTTTTAAATTTTTTCTATAAATGATTTTATTTTACTATGTATATTTCTTTAAATAAATAATTATTTAAAAATTTCATATTGATAGAATATTGTTGATGAATTCTTGTATTCTCATCCCTTTTGCATACATGTATATATTTCTAAATTTACCGTAAACTTCAAAATCTGCTTCGATTGTCATACTAGAAATCTGAGTCTTGACCATCAGCTCACTTTTTTTTCTCTTTATGCTTTGTACTTAAGGGTTTTCTTTTCATACTTGAGTTTTTGGGGAACGTATGTTTCACTTAGCTCTGACCCGGCTCTGCCAGCGCCCGGTGGCAAATCGCAAATGCTGCCTCTTCTACTCCTGCCAGCTAGCCGAAAAACAACTTCATTTAGCACGCATAAAGCAGGAGGCGACATGTGTGTGTGTGTGTGTGTGAGGCGGCAGCTGAAGCTGAAATTCCTTATGCCAGGCAAAGTGAAACTGTCACTGCAAAGGTTTTTTATATATTTATTTTTTTCTCTTTTATTTTTGTTGTTGCTTGCTAAGAAATGTAAAGTTTAGTGGGCAGAGGGCAGAGGAGGGGGAAGTGGGCCACAGCCGACGTACTAGCATAAGTACGAGTCCCTATGTGGAGGGGGTGTGCCGTGGGGTTGCATATTTAAATTTATGATTATGTCGTTATGCTGTCTGCCCGCATTGCTTAGGCGAACGAAAAAGTGACAGCGGCAAACTTAATACAAATTTATGTGCAACATATTTTTGCACTTTTTCTGGGCATAAAAGGAACGCAGAACAGCCAACAGCTAGCAGCCAAGAGCCAACAGCTAACAGCTAAGAGGCCGAGCCATTCAGCTGGTCAACATATGCCGCCTCCTGCTGGACAAAGTTTCGCTCTTGATGAGCTCGGGCTGAGGCTCAGGCTGGCTGCACGGCTGAATGGAAGTTGTTTGTTGTTGTTGTTTTTTTTTTTTTTTTTTTTAAAGCAACCATTAAATAAGAACATTAAAATGCCTTTTGCGAGGGTAAATTGCATTTCATCTAGCCGAGTCATGCTCGAAAATGACAAATTCTTACATAATAAGACGAAGGCCTCAAGAAAAATGGCCTTCATTTGGCAGGTGAGACGGCGTGAAATTGACTCGGCGGCAACAAAACTGAGCACAGAACAGCACAAGCTGCGTAGCTAACTCATTTTTAAATACAAATTTATGTTGTTACATTTTTGCGAGCAGAGCGCGCGCGAGCCAAATAAAAAATTTGATTAATTCGCAGCGCCTAATGGCGGGCTATAAATTCCGAGTTAATAAAACCAGGAAGCCAGCGACATGCAGCCAAGCTGTCAGCTCACAGCCCGAAGCCGTCGCCCTGCCGTCCCCTGCTGCCTCGTTTTCTTCTGCTGCTGCCCCTGCTGCTGCCACTGCTAATAACAAATTTGTCACGAGCCACTTTGACAGTTGTGTGTCACAGCTCTGAGCTCCATTGCTGGCCGCAAAAGCCGCAAAAGGGGAGAAAGCCGCACTCCCGTTCCCTGCGGCCCCACCAGCTCCTTTCAAATGTCAGCGGTGCCAAGTGATGCACAGTGGCTCAACAATAGATGATTTGAAAGGCTTAAATAGTGCAACTTGTTGATGTCTTGATGTAGTCTATACCAAAAACGTATAGATTCTTTATATAGATTTTTATACAGTCTACATATAAATCTTATAGATTAGCTTCAATACATTTCAAACATTTATATGTGAAATGGGCTATGTCGTGTGGGAGATTAAAAAAACAAGCAAATTTGCTTATAACCTCCTCCATATATATGTATAATCAATATATAATTGAGCGTATATATGAATCACCCCTTCTGTAGGCCCCCATCTCTCATTTCCATGAAATAGTCTCTTATCTATTTCCTTGTTATGCCCCAATTTTGTTTAGCCTCTTCTCTTCTCATGTTTTTGTCTCTCGCATAAATAACAAAAAAAAAAAAAAAAAAATAAAATAAAATAAAAATAAAATAAAATAAAATAAAATAAAATAAATAAAAATAAATATTTTCAGCTGCAGAGATATAGATATAGAAATATAAATATTTTTAGTATTTACTATTATTATTTTTAGTATTTATTATTATTTTTAGTATCGAGTATGATATTAGCACCACTATTTAGATATATAAGACTATATATATGAGAATATAGTTTGCACAAATATTCTACATAAATTTGAATCTAATTTCTGCTACCACTGTGCGAGAACAATAACTGTTTCTATTGCTGTTGCCGTTGTTGTTGCTGTGGCTGGCTGCTTTGCATGCAAATCACAATGAGAAAAAATTAAATTTCCTTTCTTAAGCATTGTGCGATTGGCCAAAGCCATTTTTTCAGCTTTGCTAGCCATAAAAAATCGCCTTATGCCACTTGAAGCGCTGCAGTGCTTAAAGCAACCAAGATTGAGCAAAAGTCAAGCAAAAGCAATTTATGATTGAATATAAATGAGAGAGACAAGGATTACACTTGCTTCTTAATAAAGAGAGTGTGGGAAAAAAGTCTCAGATATTTCTATAAAATTTATATAAATATATAAAATAAAATATATGTATAAAATATAAATATAATTTTTTATTTATTTTTTTATTTTGTGTTAAATATGTAATAATTAATATACCTAAATTCAGAATTGAATATAATGGTTAGGTATTGCTTGTTAAAAGTCTCAGATAATTCTATAAAATTTATATACATAAAATATAAAATTAATATATATCTATTTTTTATTTCTTGCATATATAACAAATAAATAAAATGAATAAATCTTTAAGACATCTACAGCTAAACTTCTTGAAAACCCCCACTCCGTTTGATGTCCAATAAAACATCAGTATATATAAATTAATAACTGAAACATGGCCCAGTCAATTGGACAGGTTGCTGCACGCACAACTCCACTCGCAATTCGATTAGGGCTGCCGGCGCTGGCTGGCAAACTGTCAGCTGCCATTTGCAAAGGACTCGCACGCTTTTTGAGCGTCTCTTGTAATTAGAAGTGATCACGAGAGCTGCGAGGGGTGGGACGAACTGAAACGAGCTGGGAGCCTTTTAGTTCTGGCTGGCAAAGTGCATTCAAATTGGCTTAAACTAAGACTGTTAAGCAGCGTGCAGCTGTCTAATTGTATTTAGAGCACGCAGCTCTGACCCTGCCCCTGCCCCTGCCCCTGCCCCTACCTCTACCGTTTGCTGGCAGCCCTTCGCTCAAACCCTTTGGCTTGGCCCGCAAGTAATGTGAAAGTGCCAGCCAACTTCAAGATTTATTAGCATCAAGATTAAAGCATTAAAAATTTTCAGACTGCGTGGCACACGCAGCCGCAGCTACCGAAAAGAAAGTCCTCGGAGAAAGTGAGTGCAATTTTCGTTGGGGCAACATCATCAATTTAGAGTCGTTGTTGCTGCTGTTGCTGTTGACTGTTTCCGCCGGAAGCGTGAGGCGAACTACGGCAACAACAGCAGCATCAGCAACTACAACAACAACAACAACTGTATTGCAATGCGCACTTTGGCGGTCAAAACTTTCAACATTAGCACTTAATTTACTGACGCTACTTAATGAAGTCTACACTTGGCTAATTTACGCGAAACGCGTTTGCCTCTCGCATGTGCATGCGTGTGTGTGTGTGGGTGTGTGTGTGTGCGGCTTTAAGCTCCTTGTTTTATATGCCAATTTTTTTTTTTTCAACTTTTCAGTCTCACTTCAGCTCATTTTTGATATGGGAAAAAAAAAAAACATTTTAAATACTTTATTTAAATTTAATTTAAATTTCTAAATTTAAAGCATTTGAATTTTGAATTAATTAAATTTTTATATATCTATCTAATAAAATATATTATCATGTAAGAATTTTAAATACTATAATTATTTAATAAACTTTTTATCAATAAATTATAGTTGTATTCTGAACTCATTTGCCTCTGACTCATAGCTGTACGCAGAAGCTATAGCTGACTATGATTAAAAATACTTCAATATATTTTTAAATGGGTTATTGAATGAGAAATTAGAATAAATCCAAAGTAGGGCCTTATCTCGCCTAACTCTACGTAAAGCCATTCTGATAAGGCATGAATGAAAGCAGGAATGATTTCCCCTTTATATATACAGGCATACATATATATGTATATATACATATGTACAAATCACAACTTCAGTGAACCTCCAACAGCGACTGTCGCTCAGTTCTTTGAGCGATTTGGTTGGCTTTGGTTGGGTCGTTTGGCGTTCGGTCTGCGAAATGGTCTTCAAATTCACAAATCGAGCCGCACATTTGTTTATTGCGTTGCTATCCATATTTATCTCAATGGCTGGCATTGTGTGCGTCGATCGATTGCCCGAAGCGCTTAAGCAGGGTAAACATCAAATTGATAACAAACAGCAATAACAACAACAACAACAACAACAGCTAACAAGATACGAAATTACAGATCAGCTGATTGTGAATCACATTTGCCTGCTGCAGATTATTGCGAGCGTTCTATTAATTGTGGGCTCCCTCAAGGTGAGTTGCCCCACAACAATTTTGCATATCTACATGTGTTTGATGTTATGTTCTTCTTCTTCTCTGTGCCTCATAGCGCAAGCATTCGTATTTCGGGCCTTGGCTGCTGATAGCAACTCTATTCGCTTATACTTTGATTTACAAAAGCATAGACTATTGGCTAATTGCGTGGATCGATATAAGGGCTACCCTGGGAATCATATGTCTGCTTTACATTATAGCAGGTAAGATATTTTTCTATTAATATATTCCAATACCTAGTACCCAATAGCCAGAAGTTGATATTGAATTTTAAAATAAAAAATAAATAAATAAAAAAAAAAAAAAAAGATTTTACAAATATTTTTTAAATTTTGCAAGATTACATATATATATTGCTATATATACACTTAAAAAAAAACTCAGTTATTTTAAAAACTGTGTTATGTATTTTAGTCTGTTAAATATGAAAATATTTTTTTTTTTTATAATATATATTTTACATATATTTATATATTTATTACATAACATGTAATATTTTTTATAAAACCTATATAGTAAATACTTCAGATATTCATATCTTCAGATAAATTCTATTAAAATATTCAGCATATTGAAAGAAATAAATATATATTAAAATGCATTAAATTTTTAGCTTTACTTATTTTAGACCCTGAAATTTATAAAAATAACTTCAAATGAATTCAAAGCGCTGGAAGAGCTTTACGATATATTTAGAGACATTTCTATGATGAGCTATGCATATCAGAAAGTCAATTAAAAGCTCGCAGCTGATAAACATTTTGAATATGTTGGCTTTACATTTGATTATATAATTTTATGCATGGTTTTACAGCAACATTATCATTAAATGTTCACATTACTAAGTTCACATCCCCAAGCTTAAACTAAGGTCATGCTTTCTTAAATATATAATATAATCAGAAATTCATAATAATATAATCAGCAATTCTCTTGAATAATTACTATGTTTTTCTCAATATCTCGCTTAGGTTTCTGGCTTTACTACATCCACGCCGTTTATCAGGACTTTCGGAATAAGTGGGGAAATGGTGATGAAGGAGTAACTCATCTAAATATGGTTTAATAAATTGCTTACAAGAGAATAACATTAACCAAGTGGGGTCTCCACAGCGTGTGCCACCTGTAACGGTCGACGTCTCACTTTTGATGTCTGCCAGCGAATGGGACATGCGAAAGTGTGAAATGCAATTGAGCTGGAAAAGAACACGCAAACGATGTCGACGCTTGTGCAAATTAGTGTGAACATTGCGGTTAAGTGGGTGTGAGTGCTTCTCGCTGTATGTGTGCGTGTGTAGGTGTGTAACCGGAAGCGTAGCCAAAACTAAAATAAGCGTTAAAATGTCTGCTAAAAAAGTGAAGTCGGAGTATCAGCTGCCACTGTGGCTGTGGCACGCGTTTTTGAGGGGAGCCCACGTTGCATGCGTATTGCATTACCAGTGTGTACCCACAACACACACGCACACACACACACACACACGCATACACCCACACTCAGGGTGCACCAAAGTGGCATATGAATAGATACATGCTTTGCTGTTTGTTTGTCTGCCTGTCCGCGCGTCTGCTCGGCTGTCTGTTTGTCTACCCATGGCTGAGTTGTCGTAATCCAGCGAGCAGACAGGTTAAATACACCGCAAGGACAGACCACGCACACACACTCATACACACACATACACTGAGCGAAAAAATGGGAGCAAAACGAGTTAGGATAGAGTGGCAAAGGCGGCAAACATGTTGCAACTGTCGCGGCGCTGTGGCATGCAGCAGCCAGCGGGCCAGACGCAGCCAACAAACAATAATAATGCAACAATAGTGCGCGCCACAAACAAATTGCTTTTGTATGTCTGCCTCTGTCTCTCTCGCTCTCTCTCTCGCTCTCTCTCTCGCTCTCGCTCTCTGTTCAGTCTCACTTGCAGATTAGTTTCGTTGTAAATTTTTATTTGCCTTTCTAGACAAAAAGCGCAGAGGCGTAGCCCACCGTGTGCGGCTGTGAAGGGGCTGCAATTAGCTCAGCCAAAACTCATACAAAAGATTTTGCTGCGGGCCGCAACTTCGATTTGCCCTATTCGACTCTCGCTCTCTCTCTCTAACTCACTCTCTCTTTCTACTACGCCACTGCGCTGCAGTCTGGTCTAAGCTTTTGTTGTCTGCAAAGTTTGGCTTTGACACAACATACCACACACACACCTGCAAAGTGGGCGGGGCGCCACCCCACCACCCTCCTGGCTATGCCAAAGCAGCCAGATCCATTCATTGAAACGAGTAAACTTGCTCAGCTGAATTGAAAATTAACTATAAATTTGGATGGCAACATGCTAAACTCGATCTGTCCACGGCACGGGTGCTTCACTGTGGCAGGTGTCAACAACTGGCAGCACCGTTGACACCTCAGCAACAACGAAATTTAATGCGCATCCCCCATCTAAGAGTTTCCAATACAAAAATTCATTAAAAACGCCAGTTTGAAATGAAACAAGTGAAAGCAGAGCTAGCGGGTGTAAGCGACTGCTGAATACTCTGGAATGTGTAGAGAGTGCAGAGTGCAGGATTTACATAGATCATATTATCAGTTATACTCCCAATTGTTATATTTATAATTACAATTCACTTTGATGACAGAGTTCAAGAAGTAGTTAATATTTACAATGTTTCTAAGGAAAACGGAAATATAAATTAATTATTTATGTATTTAAATCGCTAACAAAAAGGGTATCAGATAAGCTCTGGGTTGTATTGTAGCTATAGATAATTTACTTCTTCTTGATGTGTCAGGCAGCTAATAGGCATAGATACATAAATATATATATTTTTTACAGTGCACTAAGAGGGGAGCTACCAGGGCGGTCCCAGTAGAATCTTACTTAACTACTAAAACCCAAAAAATTAATTAAAGTGTTATGTTTTTTTTTTTACGTATTTTAAGATTGAATGGATAGCTTGATAAATATGGTTATGTAGGAGTTTTGCTACGCTTCCAATATTCATAAATAGACGTGAGTACTTATAACATATATGTGCTTAATTCCAATTCCTAATCTCCAGCTGCAAAAGCTCTCTAACAATTATTCAAACAGCATAGGAATACTCATTTTTGTATACTCTTTACTAGTAAGAGATACACAGATATAGGTATACGTATTCCCAATTGCACTTCACTCGCTTCGCCCAAAACTAATATGCCCGTCTGCCCCATCTGAAGTCGCATAAAAATGCCCGAAATTGAATTGCCCAAAAATTTGTTTGTGCAATCCGTACAGAAGCCGCACAAAGGTGCGAACTACTTGTGCCGCTGGGGGCGGGGCGGCAGCAGGGCGAAGTTGCGACTGTTAACCCTCTTGACAAGAGCCGCTTCATAATAAGTAATACATGTTTTGTTGCGTACAAGTGTTTGGCCAAAAAAAAAAAAAAAAAAATGTTAAAAAAAAAATAAAGAAAGAAAAAGGGTCGAGTTTTTATGGCTGACGCCTTTTTTACGCCTCTGCTTTGTGCGGGGGAATTAGAAGTGTGAAGCAAAAATGTTGTTGAATTTAACAGGCTTTAAAAAAGAGCGAATGAAATGAAATTCAATAAAAGCTAAGCGAAAGGCCCATGAAAATAAGCGCGATAAACAAAAGCCAGCGCAACTGAAACTAATAAATTGTTTGTCAAATTCAACAAATCACAAGGAGAGTCAGAGAGAGAGAGAGAGAGAGAGAGAGAGAGAGAGAGAGAGAGAGAGAGAGAGGGAAGGGGAGAGGTTTAGTAAATGAAAGAGAGAGATGCACACACACACACACACATTCAGCTCGTTTGAAACGTTAGCGGAAATCATTTAAGCTGCCAAATCAGCCAAGCAGCTGGGCCAAAAAGCTGCCGTCAAACTGTACGTATTATTAAGGTAGTCGACTGCGGCTACGACTCTCCGGCGGATGCCGTGTGGCCAGATGCCAGAGCAGAGAAAAGGAAAGAGCAGAAAAAAACAACGAGACGATTAATATTCATTCAGTGTCGCGCGTATATCACTTTTTATTTGCACAGGCAACGGGCGAGCGCCGGCAAGTATGCAATGGAATTCGCCGCACGCAGCAGCAGGTGAGCAGCGCTCGTGTGTGTGTGTGTGAGAGTGTGGCGCGCGTGTTGATGTGTATGAGTAACGCACAATTACATACAACAATTTGTGCTTTGTTTCTGTGCACGTCCATGTGACTACAGCGCGCCCCAAACTCCCAAATCACCAAAGAGCATTCGTGCTGCAGACTGAAAAGCGCCAAAAGCCCAAGCAAAAGCGAAGGCAGAGGCAGGGGCAGGGGCAGAGGTGGGGAAAGGGGCAGTGGCAGTGGCAGGCTAAGCTAGGCTAGGCCAGTGCCGGCACACGACTCGCTGCTGTCTGCCTTACTGACTGTCGTCTCGCCCCCCGGGAGAGAGGAGCACTTCAAATTGGATGGCCAAACATCAAGTTGCAGTTGCAGTTCGAATTTTTCTATGTTTCCATGTGAAAATTGAGAGAAATTGCCAAATGACTTGGTAAGCGATATTCTGTTTTGACAAGCCAACACACTCGGGATGGGCCAGCCAACTGGCATTGTGCTGCTGCTTGAACTTGAGCTGGCAGGTGTGCAGCTACACCTGCTGCTGCTGCTTGCTTTGGCCACTTGGCAGTGCTTCTTCTTGAGAGTTGGCGCCACTGTTGGAGAGGACATTGCGTCAAATCAAATGAAATTCGACTGCCCGGCGCTCAGTGTTGCGTTACAGCACAGCGCAGTCAGGGCCCACAGAATTACCACTGGGATCAGGGCAAATGACGCGAAACAGTCGAAAAGGGGGATAGGGAAAGAGGGAAGCAGGGAGAGAGCAAAAGAAACGACAACAGCAACAACAACAACACGTGCCTTACATAAAAATCGTGCAGGCCATGCTAAACGTTTATCCCTTTTAGCCCCAAGGACCCAACAATGAAAGTCTTCAGTTTCAATGGCTCGTTTAGCCGCTGGCTGCCTTGGCTCCATCTTGGCTCCATCTTGGCTGCCTCGTAAGCTGAGACTGATTGTGATGCTGTAGTAAGTCGGATTCTGGATAAATGCCGCATCATTGGTTATTTATATGCGTGCAACTCTACCTGTATAGGTTTACACACACACACACACACACACACACATAGATATATATAGATATATTTATTTGATTTCATTGATGAATGTGGCTGGATTTGCGTCCACTCACAGTGGCTTATGTCCTGTCATTAAGTTAGCCCCGGCAATGCGCATAGTTTCAGTTTAGCTAAGCACATGGCCTAATTGAAGCTCTCTCTCTCTATCTCTCTCTCTCTCTTTCTCTCTACCATCCATCTACCTCGCTCTTTGTGAAATTAATTAAATGGCATTCAAATGATTGGCTACGTGCCATTATTAATTTGCGCATAAATTATGCACATGTCTTAATGCCAAATGATTTCCTTTTTATGGCCAATCACTCGACTTGGCCACAAATTAATCAGCTCGGCCCCAATGCCTCGCGCTGTGCGTGAATGTACTCGTAAATATTTAAATGCGGCACGTTCGCCATTCACCTCGCATTTGCCCGAGCTCATTAGGAGGCGATTGCTCTGATTTATAGTTAACTCCTTCAAGCGATGCTCACTCACTCATGTTTACCATATCAATAATTGCGCAAATAATTAAGCGTGCCTCAGCTTTGTGAGCCATTTTCTATGCAGATTGAAAACGATTCCAGGAATTTGTTACTGTGGAAAATACATACGTACATGGAAAATCCTATTGAAGATAAGTTATTGATCTCTGAAAAAAAAAAAACAAGAAAATTCTTAATGCACAGGTTTATTATTATTTGATTGATTTATTTTCTTTTTATTTATTATTATTATTTTTTTATTTTCTTTTTATTGACATTAAAATAAAAAATGTTAAACATAAATTAGAAAAAACTAATCTGTAAAAAGAATTTTTAAGGAGTGGTACCAATAGAAGCCGAAGAAGGTTTTAAGAGAATGGAGAGAAAAAGAATGGGTAGTTAATGACAAATGATAATGATAATAATAATATGAAAATAAATGAAGGAAATCTGATTATCCAGCAGTAAAGTAGTCTAGAGAAATATAATGAACTCAAATTCAAAATTGATTGGAAAGAGATAGAGCATTACTTTTTCCTCTTCATTTAAAGGATTCTCTTCTTAATCAATACTTGGAATTTCATATGCAGTCCATATACGACGGACGACGACCCAACTGGAATATGGAAAACTTAGATAAATTGGATCACTTATTACTTATTTATATGTATATTAATATTTCTGCATTTTAAGCAATCAAGCAAGATTCATTGAAGGACTTTTGTGAGTCTCTAGTGGTATATATATATATTTCATATACATACATACATATGTGTATAAACAAGATCTTAAGTTTAGTTAGTTAGTTAGTTCTTGAGTCTAACCATATTGCAATTAGAGTTGAAGCTGCAGCTGAAGTTTGAGCTAGTCATTCGTCGGTTGCTCTTGTTTTCCAATTTAGTTGTGGCCCTTGGCACTTGCAGACCCTCGTCTAGGTCTTCGCCTGTGTGTGTGTGTGTGTGTGTGTGTGTGTTGGGCTGACAGTGCGTGGTTTCTGGCTCAAGGATTTATGGGCTGTGCGGCAGATTTATGTGTTTTTGGCTGTGAAACTGAGAGTGGTCGTGTGAAAGCGACTGGAGAACTGTGCTAATTGAGTAGAGCAATGAATATGACTCAAGCCGTGCCCGCAGGCAGAGGAGGAACTAGAGGCCGAGGCAGCGCTCTCAGTGAAGTGCTGCAGTGCAGCAGCGTATGGACACAGTCTTTGATTGGCCAGTGCCAATTGCATGTTGGTGCTGCAGCCAACAACAGGCAGCAACATGCCGCAACCGCGTTCGACTGCTGTTAACAGCCGGCGGGAGACCGACGCCTGCGCGCCGCAACGTAAACAAATGTTAAGCCAGATGCCGGCAAGTGTACCCAGTAACAGGGGCAGCGTTGCCAGCTGCGAGCGTGAATGCTAGAAGCTTGGGCAAGAGCAACAAAAAATACTGGTTTTTGACGAAGCCAGCCGAGGGCGAGAGAACGAACGCCAAGCCGAGCGCACGAAGCTGCCAGCGCCAGCTGAGGCTGAGACAGAGGCAGAGGCACTCTGACTGAGGCAGCGACAGCGACATTAGCAGAAACCAGAAACAGTTTCAGTTTGTGCTACAAACGCGTTTTGAACGGTACATGTTGCATGTGACGCGCATTCGTTGAGTGAGAGAATCGAAGCATAGAAACCAGAATAAACTCGTATCGAACTCTGAGACATAAACAATCTGAACTACCTGAAGTGAAGGTGTGCAAAAGCTGAAAGAAAAACATGTGAAGCTAACAGCAACCAAAAAAGTAATAAAATATAAATAAAAAAAATCAAGTTTGTGTTTAGTGCATGAATATAGCAAAAAACGGCGAAATTAGTTGACAAAGACAGCGTCAATTGTGAACTGTAAAATTGTGAATTGGCAAGCACACGAAAGCAAGGTGAATATATCAGCAATATGCCCAAATAAATATACATATATGTGTGTGTGTGTGTGTGTGTGTATAGCTATATATTTATGTATGTATATGTTAATGTGTGTGCCACAACCTGAAATTCTGTTTGTCCCTTGTGAAGTATTTTTTTGTTGCAGTTGTTGTTGTTGTTGTTGTTGTTGCAACTTGCAGCGTCAGTTGCTGCTCAAACGGCTCAGCCCGTTCTGAAGCCGTTCAGTACTCGATGCTCGAGTCGAGTTGAGTCGAGTCGACTGGCGTGGAATCGAATCGAGTCGAGGTACCTGTTTGCATTTTGGCCGCTTTTATAGCCCCGTTCGCCATTTCATGAGCTTGGTAGTCGTTTTGCATTTGGCCGCGCTGACCAGTTGGACCAGCTCTGGGCCAGCCTTTGTTGAAAAACACTTTTCATGTGTCTCTCGATCGCAGCGCTTCTCATGCTAATTGCATATAAATGCCAATTGCATGTTTGTGCTCTCACTCTCTCTCCCTCTCTCTCATTCTGTCTCTCTATTGAAATGAAAAAGTCATAAATTGTCTATGCATAAATCCAAATTGTTATTGCCACTTAGCAACGCGAAAAAGAGCTGGCCAAATGCACAAGAAACAAATAAAATAAAGTCAAATAAAGAGCAAAGTGGAAGTAAGAATAAAAACTGCATAATCTGCAAGCAGCCATCGGGCCAGCACCTGGTGGCAGCAACAACAAAGAAAACGGCTAAAATGCAAGCCAGACAAAAAACCGGGCAAAGGCAGAGGTCGAGGCAGAAGCAGAAGCAGCGGCAGAAACAGAGGCAGAGGCAGCGGCATCGCATGCCGAGGTCATTTTATCTTGCCCTTCCCGCACGAACTTCAAAAGCATTTCAAGCTGCGTCGTCTGTTTTTGGTCATTATGAAGAGAAAATATGCGGCAACAACTGCGACAGCGGCACAGCTCAAAAGAACCAAAATAAAAAATAAAAAACAAGCAAAATAAAAAAAAAATAAAAAAAAAATAAGAAGGGAAAAAAAATCACATGCAGCGCGCAAAAAATTTGTAAAACTGAAAAATAGTTAAACAAAGTAACTAATACGGCAATCTCAAAGCTGGCTCCTGGTCTGCTTTTGGCGCCCAATTGCGACAGCAGCTGCCAATCAACGTGTTTTGGCCATGTTGCATGTCAGTTGGCCTCGAGAGCGTGCTCGAAGCATACGCCAATTCAATATTCTCTGCAGCTAAAGTCTTGCTAAATTCTACTCAAATTGTTGTAATTGTGCGATAATAGGGCAAAGTTATTTGCATAAATAAGCAACTGCCTATATTTTACCTTGTAAAAAAAAGAGAATATTTCTGATGGGCGAAAACCTTATGTGCGGGTCGAAGCTAGAGAATATGTAGAACATGGCTAGTGTTTTGATACTCTTTACATATACCAATATATATATAATACAATATATTGCAGATTGTCTTTAGATGGTCTAGGCTGTTTGATTTATAAATCATTTGCCTATTATTGTAATAATAATGATATTTATAGTAGACTAGGTGAATATTATATAGACTTGATTAGGTTTGTAAAATAATTTTCTTTACCATATAATATGCATCTAATTTTAATGAATTTATAATTTATTATAATTTTCAATTATTTTATAGGTATGATAATATGTTATTTTATTTGTTTTTTTTTTATTTTTTTATTTATTTATTTATTTATTTATTATTTTTTATTAATTTTATTTTGTAGAATTTTCCATTATAATTAATAATAATAAATGAAATAAAATATTTAAAATTATATCATAATTGATTACAGCTAAAAATAAGTTTTCAATGGTTTTATAATTAATTTTAATTTTCAATTTTCGTGTGTTGAAAAGTCTCGTAAAACTTTTCGTATTTTAAATATACATATATGATAATAAAATAGTTTTTATTTTTTTTTTTTATTTTTTTTTTATAAAAAATACTGAAGTCTTTTTACTATGCAAGTTAAATAAAATCTCCCTTTACATATTGCACAATCCATGACAAATTGAATATATCCCCCATTAGTAGAGTATAGAGTAGGGAATGAATATTGTACGAGAGCAGCAGGGGAATTGCTTCAATTCGTAGCTTCAGCAAATTGGCCGCGATTACCGCTTATAATAATAACTTCACATTCAATTATTGAGCGCGGAGCGAGCCAACAAAGACATTTGCTGATCATTAAACGAATGAAGCAATTACTTTATTATTCTTGCATATTTGATTTAGGAGAATCGACACATTATCTATTGTTGAGAGTATAACAAAGCGCTTTTGTATGCCCGACATGTGTTTATATATATTATGTATGTATAAATGTATTTAGATATATGTATATGATAATTTACTGACTTGGGATGAGTTTGTTCTAATATTATAACTAAATTTGTTACGCATTTATAGATGGGCGTGTTTCTCTGCTTAAATAAATAATATAAATTAGTAATCCGAATTAGCATCAGAATGGGAATTTGAATTATGCAATGGATTTTTCATATATCTCTTACGTTCTTTTCTATTACTGATTACACAGTCCAACAAGGTTTAGTTACTGAAAGTCAATAAGTATTACATGACTTACTTTTTCGTATTATTAGAATGCTGTTATAAATAAATCAAATAATTTTTTAATATAAAATCTGCTTCAATAAATCAATTTAATAATTCAGTTTGAAGTTTTAGTTTTATAAAATAAAATATTTATATTACTTCAACTGTTAAAATGAATCAAAATTTTTGGAAAAAACATTAAAAATTAATTGCCTTTAAATTGCAATTAAGCTGTAAATAAACTTCTGCATAGACCCACTCTTCGATAAGTCAGCTCTCTCTCTACTACAGCTAGAAAGTATTGACATATCTGCATAGTATTTTCAACCCTCTGAGCTTAAATTTACCCTGCGCTGTTGTAACGGTTGTTAATCAAAACAATCATACATACTATATACGATTCACAGTTGTATTGCCTCGAAATAGTTTAACTATAATAAGCTAACTCTGGCTCTAGTCTTATCGATTCCACTTTCTGGCCACGTTAATGTTTTCATTGCGTTTACAGGAAATGCCGTGTCCTTTTTTTTTTTTGCTGCCTCCCAATATCAAAAGAGAAATAAGAAATTACGCCTAATGGTTTTTTAATTGTAACAATAATTGCTGTCGCCATTGCATGAGCAGCTGCCCAAATAAAAGAAATAAAAGCGAAAATCAAGAGGCGTAAGCTAAAGGCGAAGTTTAGATACCCTTTAAGGGGGTAAGAGAAGTAACGAATGTTAGATGTGTATATGAGATAGATATCATATGTTATATAGATAAATGTCGATGTGTATACTACTCTAATATATCTAAGAGATAATATATAAAAATATATAGATTATATATAATTATTGATATATATCTAAAATATATATATTAACATTTTTTTTATATATACATACTTATAGAGTAATAGATCTTTGAGTTAAAAAATAGAAAATGTTTTTGACTACATCGACTACAGGACTAAAATCGAATTTAGATCGAACAATATTTTCTATAAATCGGAAAATATGAAATGGTTTACAATATTGCTTGGAATGAAAGTTAGGAGATTTACTCACTTTACTTTACTTTACTTTCTGCTTTGCTCTGGAGCATTAGTCTTAAGATGTGTGAAGACAAAATTGATATAAAATGTTTATTAAAAATCAAATATGCTCCATAGCAATCGTTTATATATTTTGTCAAGTCGATGCTGCTATATAAACTAATGATGTACCTCATAATGAAACAAAAACTCTGCTTAAGAGTTATCTAAAATATCCAACAAAAATACTCAGCTGTAAAGGTCAACCAGACATTTATTATAATAATAGTATCATATATCATCTCTTCAAAATCAAAATACCCTTTTAAGGCCAGTGTAGCTAAAAGGCTAGCAACAAGCTCGGCAAGTGTTTAGCTGGCTGTGAATTGACCAGAAAGGAAAGGAAAAAAAAAAAACGCATTGAATTCACTGGCAACGCTCGACACATAATCGCTCATTTGGGCTAGTCTGGCCCCACAGACGTGTGTGAGTGCGGGTGTGCGTGTGTGTGCGTGTCTATAATTAAGCCTAAAAGTGCTGGCCTATGCCTTTTTTATGAGCCAACTGTCCTAGCTAGGCCCCAGCTTACTGACTTTTGCTGCTAAAATCTCGCTTTGTTATTTTATTATTTTGCTTTTGCTTCTGCTTTGCTTTTGCTACTCCTGGCCGAAACTGGCCTTTGTGGCAAGCAGTTGATTATGAGCATTTTGTGTTCCTGTTGCCGGTATTCCTGATGTTGCACAGTCTTTTCTATATTTTCTATGTTTTTTTTTTTTTTTTTTTTTTTTTTTTTGGGTTAGCTGGCATCGCTCACACTCGGCTGTGCGTTGCTGCGGTCTCTAATGTGCGCCATTTAGGTTTTAAACGTAAGTGTGTCTGAGTGTGTGTGTGTGTGATTGTGCTTGTGTGTGTTAGCTGCTTCTTTGTTGCCACATTTGCCCAGAGGTCATTATAGACGCCTCGCCCGTTGCTCATACGCGATGTAGCCGGCAACTTCCGCTGCCACTGCCGCTGCCTCTGCCACTGCCGCTGCCTTTGCCTCTGGCGTCGGCTCTGTCTCAGCTGCTTTGCCTCTGGCCTCTAAAGTGGCAATTTGTCTACTTTTGTAAGCGCCTCTTTTAACGATAATGATGATTGCGCTCTGTTGCGTTTTTATTTCACTGCACACACACACACACACACACACAGACAGTTCGCACATGCAGATCCAACTGTGGTCAAGCGTCCAAATAACCTGAAACCGAGTCCATTTTCGCCAGCTCGAACTTTGTTTTGCTTTCATTTTGCGGGCACATTCGTTCTCTGTTTGTCTCTTTTGCCACGTTATTTGCTTAGAATTTTTCGATTTCCATTCGCATTCGCTGTCCGTCCGTCCCGCCGTCCGCCTGCCTGCAGCCGGTTCATTCAGTTTTGCGA